GGGTGTGTTTGGTTTGTGTTTTGAGATAAATTTTCAAAAAAAAATTTAGAGAGAGTTTAGAATTTTTTTTGATTTGTTTGGTTGTATATTTTGAAATTAGTTTTGGAGTTTGAGAGTTTGGAATGATTTGATATTTTGTTGTAATTGAATAGATGTGTGAGAGAAAAAGTGATTGAGAAGGAGAGACGAGAGAGAAAAAGTGATTGATTGATGTATAATAAAGAGGGAAGTAATTTTAGAATTTTTTTGAGAAAATTTGTAACCAAACATGTTTTTGAAAATTTTCTTCTAAAGACATGTTTCAAAACACAAACCAAACACACCCAACATTTCTTAAGCCACACGATTTATAGCATTTTTATCTTATTTGAAACCTTTAAATACGTATAGACAAAAGTACCCCATCTTTTTGTCTTTGTTATAACTTTCGAGAGCATTATAAATATTTACAAAACAAAAAAAAGAAGCTATGTGACAACTTACTTAACCTGTTTATGAAAAGCTGCACCAAACATATTTACAACTTATTTTAATTCTTTTAAGCTAATGATCCAAAAAAAAGAAAGTTTATTTGTAAATGATACCAGACGGGGTCATTATGATTTGTTTGATTCTTCTTGTATGCTATTTATTCTGAACTTATTAACAAGCTCAACGAATATAATCTGGCTGGTTATTTGCACTGGCAGTGCTGCTGTATTTCACAATGCAAGCACGAGATTTTCTGATGGCGCTCGTTTTGGACTAGGCGCAGAGGTCTTATTAGCTAGCTCTATTGATCATCACTTTGGATATGATTGAAGTTTTTTCTATTGTATTTATTGATTGTTCTTGGCTGAACAGGTCGGGATAAGTACAAGTCGGATACATGCTCGTGGTCCAGTAGGAGTTGAAGGATTGCTAACAACACGATGGTATGCTAATATTTTCTGTAATGAGTCTATGTTGGAAGTTATATATTTGTGTGGAGTTTTGATGAAATTTAAACGAAATTGACTAATCAAAAACACCTTAAATATTTCTTCTTCTTTTTTCTTTTAGGTTAATTACACAACCTCTACACTTGCACCAAAATTCCACTTTGATCCCTACACTTTCAGTTGTAACAGTCAATCCTTTTTATATTTTAGGTCAAGCGTCAATCTTGCCCTTCTGTCATATGATGCCAACGGAAATGTTTTTTAGTAGTTTTACGTCAAAACCATGATATAGTATAATATTTTTCTCTGTTAAATGCTTTTTAACAATGATATATGCACGGTAAATATCATGATTCGGTGAGGAACACCCAAAAAAACAAAAACAAAAAAAAACTGGTTAGCATGAAACTAGTAAAAAGTGCATTTCCGTTAGCCTTATTTAAATACTAAATGGATGGAAGGGGATGTCAAGTGTAAATTTTTGATTACTTGGAGAGAAACCACCTCATTGTGTTTTTCATATGTTGACCTTGTCTATTGCTGCTGTATTATTAAATTTAGGATCGGTAGAGGAAGCGGGCAAGTGGTTGATGGTGATAAAGGGGTGATCTATACTCACAAAGACCTCTCTCTTCATGCTTGAGTTCATGGAAATGCTTTGTCGAAACACAACCATCGGAGCTATTTTGTTGTTAAAGGTATTATCAGATGATCAGATAAAGTGAGCAAACTCGTCAGCAGGCCTTTTAAGTTGAAAAAGAGATCAAGAGAGTATATTATCTGTTTTTGCTCCATCAACAAATGTACCATTATGTGCAACAATTGTTATATTTGTTTTCTTAACTTAAATAATTTAAATTATTGCCAAATTTCCATGAATTCTAGGATGAATAACTTGTACCTCTATGAAAATAACTCAGAAATCAGACTTTGGAAGAGTTATTGGAGGGTGATACATACACTTTTGAACAGTTGAGTCATTTAATTGAATTTCAGGTTCATGTTCATGTGATTCTGATTGTCTTCCTCCATTAAGGAGTCTCTGAAACTTGAAAGTGCTATGATTTTCTTCATCTCTCAAACTTGAGAGAGAGAGAGAGAGGGAGAGAGTTTGATGATGCCCGGAAGCACCCTCAACTTGCGCACCAACAAAAAATAAATGTCTTAAAACTAGCGATGGGCAATAGTTTGCTTAGGTCAGACCTGTTTTTTCAAAATTTGTGGGTAGTTGGCAGGGCTGGCCTTGAGTTTTTGAGGGTCCAAGGCGAAACAAAAAGGGCGGTTTATGTTCACAAAGATAAAAAATCACCTTCTTTGACTACTGTTGATTGATATTAAAATAGATATTAAAATGTAGTCACACACAAAAAAAAAAAAAAAAGTACCAAAATTAGGAAAATTTTATTCAATTAAAATGTATTAGATATGTATTGAATTAATTGTTGTTTATTGAATATGTTGTTTATGAGTGGTTGAGTGTGGTTACATTGTTGTTTATTGAATATATTGTGTATGAGTGCGATTGAGATTGGTTACATTGTTGTTTATTAAATATATTGTGTATGAGTGTGATTAAGATTGAATTAATTGTTTATTCTAATAAAATTTAATAAACAAAGAAGGTAAAAAAATATGACAAATTAATTTATTCTACTAAAATCTGATAAAGAAGGTAAAAAAAAAAAAAAATTGGCTGCCTATTTTGGGCCATCAACATTTTGTATTTGTATGTAGCGTTTCTCATTCAAGGGCCACTAACATTTTGTATATATTTTTAATTTCAATTGGACCAAATCACACTTGTAAACAAATACGAGTCCAACAAATATTTTTGGATCATTTAGATTGGTCCTAAAATAACAAAAATAATTTGGGTTAATTTAAATTTATAATATACTATAACACTTTACTAAATTTGAGACCCCTATTTTGGGGCCTCATTGGCCTTAGCCCAGGGCGGTACTGCCCCCAGCTAGTGAGGAATGGGGGCAACCTTGTTGGAGATAAGAGATGACTAGAACAACCAGGGATTTGGGCCACAACCTACACCAAATAGCTAATCTTAAGGAGGATGGGGAGGCTCAACCCTCTTCTCGTTACTACATTTCTAGAGCAAAGAGGGAAATCAGGCTCCTTGAGGAGCGTACCAACCCAACTTAGTCATGAACATAGAATAGGTAATGGACCTTATTCAGGAACAGTCTCATCATGCATTTACGCGAATTGGTAGGCACAACCTATCCCCAAGTTATCGATAGGGGTTATGAGTAACCTAAGAGGTACAAGGTGCTTTAGTTTGTCTTGTTCTTCGTCGAAAATAATCAATCCACCGTGGAGAACATTGCAAGGTTCACAATGCAATGCGTGAATGATTATCCTGCCTTCTCTCGTGGATCACCCTGTGCTTCTGAGGTGCATCTTTCTCAAATATGTCATCATGCCTTGTCCCATTTTCTTCACCACCGGGGTGTCCCTTCCCCTGTGGATAGTATGATGAAGGGCATATAATGGTCCGCCAATTGTTTATCTCTCTTCCTCGCATTCAATTCATGACCCTTTCGAGCAATAAGGGTCGTTAATGCCTCAACCGATGAATATCCTGTTCATGGCACCACATGTTTTCTCAAGTTAAGGCTAGTAGCAAATTCCTTACGAAAATGATAAATACAGAGATAAGAAAAAGGACAAAAGGCTGAAGGAAAAAAAAAAAAAGCAAAAGATAGGAGGAATAATAGATTAGACCCATCTTGGTTTTGATTTCTTTTTCACTTTCTCTCACTTTTACTTTCAAATCAAACTTTTAAAACTCAATTCAACACTTTATTCAAAAACCATAACCAAACAAATTTTTTATATTCAAATCATAATTCCACAACTCATAAACTCAAAATACAACTCATACACTCAAATCATATTTACAAAATTCTACCAAACGCAACATGAGTTTTTCATCTTTTGTATTTTTTTAGTGAATATTTTTTTAAAATTTTAAGAATTTTTTTTTTTACTTTTTTAGATGCACATTACTTAGATGTATCTAACTAGTAAAATATTTATAAAAAAATATTTTTTAAAATTTAATAAATACACAAAAATACGAAAAATGTATTGAATTTTTATTTATTTATTTTTTATATTTTTAGTATTTAGTAAAAAAATTTAAAAAAATTATAAATATTATATTTTTTAAATATATTTATGTTAGATGCGTTTAAAAATTAAAAAAATATTTAAAATATTAAAAAATTCAATAAAAATAAAAAATAAAAAAAATAGAATTTTTCGAAAAGTAAATTGTGAAAATTGAAAAAAAGTGAAAAAAAAGAAGAAGAAAAATTCTGGATATATTTGGTTTGAGTTTTAGAGATGAGTTTTAGAGATGAGTTTTAGAAGAAAAAAAAATTCAAAAAATTGTTTGATTTGAGATTTTTCTCAAAAAATTTCTAAATCACTTTCTCTCTTACACATCATTCAATCACTTTATCTCTCTCCTCTCTTCTTCTCAATCACTTTTTTTCTCATACACATTTACTCAATTATAATAAAATATCAAATCATCCTAAACTCCCAAACTTCAAAATTACTTTTAAAATATAAACTAAACAAACCAAAAAATTTTCTAAACTTTCTTTCCAAATTTTTTTTCAAAAATAATTCTCCCAAAAACAAGCCAAACAAGCCCTATAAAAAAAAAAAATCTTTTTTTTTTTTTTTTTTTTGTAGCGTAGGTAGTACCACCAGTATCTCTCTCTCTCTCTCTCTCTCTCTCTCTCTCCAATTATTTTTGTTTCACAAACAGCTGCTCCCCTCCCCTAAGCAAAGCTTTCTTTCTCATCTCCGCTTAACCATTCCTATCACACCTACACACCCCAACCCTTTAAAATGGTCCTCCCTCCAACACAACACCTCGAGCCCTCCTCACTCTACTTCTGTAGATGAATGGCCACCCAACCCAAATGTTTCTTCATTTTCTCTCTCCAGTGGTTCAGTAGTAGGCTGATTTCTTGATGGATCTTGGTGCTGGTGGTATGCTAATGGTGGGTTTGGAAGATGGGTTTGTGGGTGGTGGTTCAGACCCATATACCTCTTTTTCTTTAGATGCTCCTCCTCACACCAATAAGCAAAAGCTGTACGGATCATGGCTTCTCAATAAGCAAGAAAGGCCTGAAGAAGAAGATGACTGGAGAAGCAGCTGCTTAAAAGTGGCCAAGACTACTACTAGTGAAGATGACTTCTCAGCTTCCAAGGCAGCATTGCTGAGAAGTCCTTTGTTGAGATCTAATGGCTCTGATGGTCAGCAAATGCTCAGCTTCTCTTCACCCACCTCACAAGCTGTGCCATTGCCTTATTTTCAGTATCAACACCACTCATCAATTCCTACTACTACTTATGGTAGAGATACAACAGGTAGTAACATTGACCATTTTTTTAAGGCTTTTTAGCTATGTGGGGGTATTCAGAGAATATATATATATATATATATAGTTATATAAATGAGGGATTGAAAGTGATATATCTTAAAAGTTTCTAATATTGGGGGAGTAAAAATGACTCTGGGGTAATGGGTATCTCTCATATTTGCTTGTTAAGCTGGGAAAAGGGAGATGGTATATGTGTGAGGCGAAAATTACATAGAATGAAGTTCCCAACACACTTGTGATTAAAGAAACATTTGGGTTTTTATTCCCAGTACTGGTCGGATGGTCTTTTCATGTAAAATATAAAGATGTATTGGCTTTTGAGTCTTGTCAAAAATATATATATCTATATATATATATATATAAACCCAAATTGTTGGTAATGTTTTCCATACAGTAGAAGCTGTTGAGTACAAATGAAGGAAAAAAAAGAAAGAAGCAAAAGATAGGAGGAATAATAGATTAGACCCATCTTGGTTTTGATTTCTTTTTCACTTTCTCTCACTTTTACTTTTTCTTCTTGTCATATGAGAGACAAGAAATCTATTATTGGTGTAGCCTCCTTAAATGTTGCAGACAAGTTTTAAATTTTGAGTTTCTTGCCATATCCTTTTCTGTACTCAAATTTTTCCTCTACGCTTAAATATTCGACTCTGAAGCTACCAGTAAATAGTTTTGATAATTGTTCAAAGGCTTGATGATTTATTATTTTTTTTTATAAATATTTTTAATGTAACCTGTATGAAGCTACAGACAAAATCGTTGTTTCTCTTTTTATTTTTATTTTTATGTTGTGTTTGGATGAATTTGTGGAGTGAAAAAAAATGGAAAGTAAAAAGTCAAATTTTAATTTCTACTATTACACTTTTCCTTTCTTATCCCATTTCCATACTCTGATTTTGCGGTACACTTAACATAGTAGACTGAAGTTAGCAGTAAATGGTTCTAGTAATTGTTGTAAATTTGTTTGTAGAAGCTGCAGGCAAAGTTGTTGTTATTATTATTATTATTATTATTATTTATTTATTTATTTAATTTTGCTTCATACTTAACCTTTGCTTTTTTCCACTTTTTTTTCACATTCAATCCAGACACAACCTTAATGTTTCTCTCACATATTTTAAAGCCGAATCTTTTGGTTATTGAGTTACAGGGTATGGGTGTGGAGGCATGAATGGTGCAGATATGCATGGGGGATTAACAGTGGTGAGAGGCCCATTTACTCCATCACAATGGATGGAGTTAGAACAGCAGGCCTTCATCTACAAATACATTACTGCCAATGTCCCTATTCCTTCTAATCTTCTCTTTCCTATCAGAAAAGCCCTTGATTCTGCTGGTTTCTCTGGCTTTTCAGGAGGACATATAGTACCCACTACTTGTAAGTTTGATCTCTTTCTCACTATCCAAATATTACCACTTAACTACATTTATTAATGGTTTATTTTTTGGCGAATAAATTGATGTATATCTGCACTGATCCTCTGTTTCAAATCCTTTTGTTCCCTTGTCATGTCTCACATTTCGAGATTTTCACATAATTTAATACTGGTTGTGACTATTTTGGTATAGTTGAATAGGGGATTTGGAGGGC